ACCCCTAAGGAGGATGTGGCCCCATTGGGAGCTCCACGAGGGCGCCAGCGGCAGGGTTCGCATGGCGGCCTCGGGCCATTTCGGCACACCCCTCACGAGGATCGCGGCCCCATGGAGAGCTCCACCGAAGGCCCCAGCGGCATGATTCGCACGGCGGCCTCGGGCCATTTCGGCGCACCCCTCGCGAGGATCGTGGCCCCACTGGGGCTCCACCGAAGGCGCCAGTGGCAGGGTTCGCATGGCGGCCCCGGGCCACTGCGGCGCGCCTGGGCGTCGTACTCCGCCTTGTCGACGTGCAACGCCACCTCCTCCCTCATGGCTCTCAAGGCCCTCTTCTGCTTCTGCTCCTCGGTGAGAGGGGCGCCGCCCTTGTCGCCGTCGGCGCCCGCGAAGACGGCCGCGAACGTGCCCCTGAGCATGTCGGGCTCCGGCGGGAAGCCGTGGCCACATAGGGGCCGCGGGCGAAGATGGCATTCACAATTGCGGCATTCACAACTGCATATGGTTGGGCCCTTCGCCAGGATAATGTTCTTCCTTCCATGTAAATACATATATATATATATATGTATATCTATATTATTTATTTATATTTATATATATATATATACATATAGCAGCCGCCATACTGTCTCAGAAAGTGCAGCCAGGCGGCCACCGATGTGCCCATGCGGCACGTCCGACCCACCTACCTAGACTCTCACTCGAGCCGCAGGTGGCCACGCGGGCGATGAGGACCGCCCTTCTGGCGGCGATCGCTCAGGGCGCGGCAGCGGGCGCAGCGGAGACGTCCGCAGCCGCGCGACGGACGGCCTGGCGGTTCTTGCACTACGCGCCGCTGACGGCTCGCACGGCGGAGAGGTTAGACGACATCGAGAGTGCCTGTGGGAGCTATGACTTCGTAAGCCTCATCGGCGCACAGCGCAAGTGCGACCTCCCGATCCAGCAGCAGAGATCGGGGGAGAGGTGGCGCATCGAGAGTGGTTGGAAAAGAGCAAGCTTCAGCAATAAGTCTGCGGGCGTGCTCTTCAGTTCCGGCAACAAGTTCAAAGCCAGACGCTTGCGGAGGGCGGTCACAAGTCCCGAGCAATGTGCAGGCCGAGGGCTTTCAGTCAGACTAGCTTCTCGGCAGTTCGACTTCACTATGATGGGCCTGCACATACCACCCCGACCGACGCGAGTGGAAACCATATCGACATATGAAAAATGCGTGGACATCATGATGGATTGGCTACAGGAAAAGCTGCAGCAGGCCCCGAGCAGAAGCTCACCGATCATTTGCCTGGACTTGAACGACGGAATGGGAATGGTCGTGACAGAGAACGGCAAGAGCACGGAGTATTTGGACAGCCCAGCCTTGTACAAACCAGGTGCGCGACGGGAACACTACGCAGGGAAACGGTTCAGAGAAATATTGGAAGGACATCACTTGGTGGCAACTACAATGCAGAAGGCAGACGACACGTGGTATGGCAACGCGGACAACTCGTCGCTGGTGGATTACGCATGCATCCCGGAGGCCCTGACAAGATGGGAGACCAGCTGCGGGACCTTGGCCCGCCTGGGCCGCTCGATGCAGCAGATGCCGAGCAAACAGCGACGCGACCACCTGCCAGCACATGTGAACTTAAGCATGCCGACCATCAGTGAGCTACGCAAGAATGATGTTACCCCTGCCTGGAGCGCAGAGGCAATGATGCAGGCGTACACGGGCACGGACATAGACACCAAGCGCGCCTTCGTCGAGGACATGGAGGCGACGCTTGACCATACTTGGGAGGAACTTTTGGATCTGGCAAACCGTACGTCTGCAGATTCTTTGATTGAGAAGTTCGAGCAGCGTATGATTGAAGTTGGGCAGCAGTATTTTGCACGAGATCCTGAATGGGACGAACGCTACAAGGCACGGAGAGAGCGCATAATGATACTACTCGAAGCTCGTAGAGATTATCGGCTTCGACACGATGAGCAATCAAAAAAGGAAGAGGCCGAGCTCATCGAGGGACTAAACAACTATCAACATATATGAAGAAACAACGGGATTTGGAATGGAACGTACACCAGGAAGAGCTACTGGATCATATATGGGATTGTTGGCGAGTGCGTAGCATGGCAGAAGTATATCGACTCTCGAGATTGGCTGCAAATACAACATATGAGATAAGACATAGACATTTCTTCGCAGTTAAAGCGACGGGATTGTCCGAGGAGAAGTGGACTGAACATTGGTCACGTCCAGGACCAGACGGTGGAATGCAGGCGACACAGATGCACGATTGGGACCAATGGCGCAGTGAACGCCAACAACAGGGCGCCGAGCCAGCAGTACGTGATGAACGACTACGGCGAGTTGCGGTTCGAGACTTTCGACGGCTGGAGCGTTGGGTAAAACGGCCACCAAAAAGAAGAACACGACCTCCCTGGTCGGCCCCGCTGGAGCTCCTGGCCATCCTTCTGAACCCGAACCCAGAGGCTCACCCCAAAAAAGGTCACAGAGGTTTAGGCGCCCCTTCTGATCCCGTGAGTGCCTCCCTGTTTCGAGCTGTCTTGGAGGACGGACTTTTACGAATTCGGCAGTCTGGTAGGATCCCTAGTTACTGGCATCTGAGTAAAGGCGTCACTCTCCCCAAGTCCAAAGAGGCTAGGTCTGCGGGGGGGGGGCGGCTAAAAAAGACTCGGACGGTCCATTTACTTGCACCCCTCGGGAAGGGATGGTACGCTATTCAGAGCGTCGCTCCCCGCGCGCAGGTACAGGTGCATGGCTTTCTCGAGGGTCGTTCGAAAGAGGCGGCGATAACGGTTGCGCAGTGCACGATGTGGCGAGCGCGCAAACAAGGACGCACGAGCATCACACCTGCACGGTTTAAGTGATGCATTCGGTGGTGTCTCTTGTTCAGAGTTTGATGATGTCCAATCGGACCTCATGCTTGACGAGCTAGAGCAATTCGGACGCCAGCGCTACCACGAGGCAGTGGTGCAGCTGCCCAGTGAGGAAGGCAAGGTGATGTTTCGGATCGGCTGTGGGGCCTTTATTGGGGGCCCGTGCGTTGTTCGTTTGTCCCTCCTTGCCTTCCAAAGAGGGGCAAGCGTCTGGCAGCATCAGATGATACAGACTGGCAGTGATGTAGGTAACTGTAAAGCCGAGAGTCCCTTCACACAGAGGGAGGTGGACATGTCCCTGTGCCAGTATGCAGATGATATATTTAAAAACACTCGTAGCTGAGGACGCCGAGTCAATATATTCTCTCGCCCAGCGCAGTTTTTTAGAAAACAGTGCTCTGGACACGGCTCTGGAGACGATTAACTGTAGACAGAATCGGGACAAGCAAGAGATTTTACCAGCTTGTGCTGGGCGCGGCTCGAATAATGATGCTCGGGGCATTCGCTCAGGCGGGGTCCGACTGCCGGCCCAGTTTAAACCTCGCGCCCGACATATAGGAGCTCAGTTACATAAGAATGACAAGTTTGGGGAAGAGTTTTTTATATATAAAAAACGGCGAAAGGCAGTCGAACAATCATACTCTGCTCTAGGTAGGTTTTGGAGTTTGAAGCGCGCGCCCTGGAAAGCCCGTCGAGGCCTGCTGATATGCTGTGTACACAACGCAGCACTGACAGGCAACGAGTCTTTTTGCCTCACAGAGGCCAACTGGCAGGAGCTAGACATGCTCGTGGCCAGATTTGCAAGAAGGGCGATGAGAGGCGCAGCTCACTCGATCGCGACAACGGCGGAGGGCGAGCAAAAGCATAAACACATGTCGACTGGAGAAGTATTGAAGTACTGGAGGATGGCCCCACGCAAGCTGGAGGCCAGAGTACGACGACTAAAATGATTGCAGAGAATCGCGAGTAGACCCCACCATCACGATCAGGAGCTTACTGCGATATTCGGTCAGTACCCATTCGAGCGATACGCGACGATCGGGGGGACGACTTGAAGATAGGAGACCAGGTCAACCCATGGGCCAGGAGGGCGAAGGAGGATATTTTAGAAGGGTTGGAGGCGATGGGGGGCGACATAGCATGGCTGAAGGAGGAGTTGAGCGAGGGCTTCTTGAGGCTCTTCAGAGACCCCGACTTGGCTGAGGAGTTCGCGGCGCTCGATTTTGGGCGACTGCGAGAAGGAGCTTACGCTTGTGCCGTTCCCCCTCCTGGATGGTCCTCGTCTCAGGCCCCAATGGCAGATGCTGTCGCCGAACCCGAACAGAAAGTATAATCGACGTGGGTGTGCGGATGTGAAAAAGAGGACGGTAGCTACTGTCAGGAAACCTTCACAACATTCAAGTCGGCCAACCAACATCGCCTTCAAAAACACGGCCTTCGAGATCCCTGGGCATGCACAGTGATCACCAATATTTGTCCTTGGTGCCTGGGGGTGCACGGCTCGGTGGTGGCGGCGCAAAAACACGTGGCCCAGAGCGTTCGGAGGGGAGGAGTTTGCAAATGCCGATCACCATACCTTGGAGGACGGTCACATCCGGAACTTCGCACGTGCCACCTCTGTAGCCAGGAATGCTCGAGCTTTGAGGAGCTGCAACAGCGCCTCCAGGAGCGCGCGCCGCCCCTCGACCCACTGTGCACCGACGCTCGGGATGGAGCTCGAGCCCGCCAGGTTCGCGCTCAAGCAAAAGCAACAGACGCAGGGAGTCGAGGGGGCGTTGCAGGCCAAGAAGCACCGCACAGTGGAGGCGTTGCTGCAAGGCGGCAACGGCAAGGACGACAGCGTTCTCGCTCGCCTCGTCGCAGTGCTGGCCAGGCTGGCGTTAACCAACGCAGCCGAACTACGAAAAATCGCTGGCCTGGTGTTTATCACGCTGCTCCTGCCCATCGAGGGCGCCGTCGCCAAAGCCACGAAGGCCGCAGGCGCCACGTGCCACGAGACGGTGCAGGCACTCAAGAAGAGCAACGACGAGAGGGGCCTCGAGGAGCTCGGCCCACCGTACGTCCACATCTTCATGGCAATGGTGATGGGCATCAACCAAGAGGCGTGAGAGCAGACGTGCAAGGAGACCATCTACCAGTTCTGGATGGCGCACATCAAGGACAAGGGAGCGCAGGAGGTCGAGGAGTCGGTGATGCGTTGCAAGTGCCGCCCAACGAAGCCGAAGGAGAACAAGCCAGACATGGTGAAGCTGAGCCTCGCCCTCAACAGCAGGCACGCGGCGGTGCAGGACGCGCTGGAGGTGGAGCTGCGCCGCAGGAGCGGAGTGGTGAAGAGGGGGCCAGCGCCTCGCGGCCCACTCGAGCGAGCGGCGCAGCAGCTGCTGGACGAGTACGAGGGCGCGAAGAAAGACAAGGGCGGCAAGGCGTAGCACGCATGACGGCCAGCCAGCAGAATATCATTGCCAGACATTCGACCAGGCTCCTGGAACTGGTGCAAAGAGGCGCTGTACCGCTACAGACAGCGCTGAGCCAGGCCATGGGATCTATGACAATCTCTCCAGTACGACGTCGTACGAAACACAAAGTGTTTGCTCTCGACACTTGAGTTGAGTGGACCAATTCAATACAGGGGATGGCGAGCCTTCTTGGGAGATATGGATGTGGGCCCAGTCTTACAGGATGAGCGTCAGTGACACGCTGAAGGAGGCTGACGATGACACTAATTCGTTCCCAGTCATCTCGAACGCCTACTGAGTACGTTGCGCGTGCCCGGTGCCCCGCGTAGCTGGAACAGCTTTCAGAGTGTTTGGATGGAGTCCTCCCCCTCTCTCTCCCCCTTGTGGGGCCAATGCCCTATCCGCGCCTCCTCGCACCTGCCAGGTGGTCGACCTTCGGGTCTTGCCTTCGGGCTCCACCCGACAGGAGGCGGGGGTGTGGTGGAGAGGGGGATCGGCCTCGCCCTCGGAAGCCAAGGACTGCTGAAATCGCCGTTCCCCGAGTTTTTTTTTCAACGTGCAGAGGCCCCTCATTGCCCTCGTGGCGCAGGGCAGCCCCTAAGTCCCCCACCACAGGGCGCCGCAGACTGCCTGTGGGTTCCCCCCCAGCATATGCGGCTGATTCCTAAACGTAGGCCCTCAGGGTAAGGTTAGAAAGCCAGCAAACTTTAACCCAGGTAAGGAGTGCTGGTCAGAGTGACCATCACACCTTTTTTCAGGTGCTGACTTGCGGAACACTGCCCTCGAGCATTGATATATACATATATATAATACATATATATTATATATATATATATATATTATAATATATATATATAATCTGCGGCGAATCACCGCCGCCCCCTGCCTTTTTGGAAGCGCCTATGTGGCCGAACGTTGAGGCCAGACCTGCCAAGCTATCGGACCATGTGCTCCCCGAGTCGGTTTGGAAAGCTTTCGGGGAACACGTGGGCATCTTGAAGGTCATCTTCGCCGTCCGGAGGCCATTTTGACCCTTTCGGGCCTTCTTGGAGTACGTTTTGGAGGGCTCTTGGGCCGTCTTGGAGGCCATCTTGAGCGTCTTGAAGGCCTCTTGGGCCGTCTTGGGGGGCCTCTTGGGGCCGTCTTGGGCTTCTTGAGCGATCTTTGGGGGCACATGGGCCGTCTCGAGCCGTCGGAAGGCTGAAACAAAGCAAATGCCACAATCCTTCAACAATTCATGGGAAACCAATATGTTTTGGCCTTTTCGGGCCTTCCTGGAGGCCCTCTTGGAGGCCTCTTGGGCCGTTTTGGGCCATCTTCGGGCCATCTTCGGCCGTCTTGGTGGGCTCCTGGCTTGTCTGACGCCGTCGGAAGCCGTTTGGGGGGCTTCTCTGGGCCGGCTTGGGGCCCTTTTGGAATGCTCCAGGGCCGTTTTGGAGGCCATCTTGGGCGTATTGGAGGCCTCTTGGGCCGTCTTGGGGGCCTCTTGGGGCCGTCTTGGGGGCCTCTTGGGCCGTTCTGGGGCCGTCTTGGAGGCCTCTTGGGCGATCTTTCGGCGATCTTTGGGGGCTCTTGGGCCGTCTCGTGCCGTCGGAAGGCCGAAAAGAAGCAAATGTCAAAATCCTTCAACAACCTATGGTAAATACGTGTTTTTGACCTTTTCGTTTCCTGGAGGCCCTCTTGGAGGCCTCTAGGGCCAGCTTCGAGCCAATTTCGGCAATCTTGGTGGATTTCTGGCGCGTCTGACGCCGTCGTGAGCCGTCTTGAGGGCCTTTCTGGGCCGACTTGGGGCCCTCGTGGGGCGCTTCGGGGCCGTCTTGGAGGCCATCTTGGGCGTCTTGGAGGCCCCTTGGGCTGTCTTGGGGCCCTCTTGGGGCCCTCTTGGGGCCCTCTTGGGGGCCTCTTGGGCCGTCATGGGGCCATCTTGGAGGCCTCGTGGGCGATCTTGGGGGCTCTTGGGCCGTCTTGAGCCGTCGGAAGGCCGAAAAGAAGCAGATGCCACAATCTTTCGAAACCCTAAGAGAAATCAATGATTTTGGCCTCTTCGGGCCCTCCTTGAGGACCTCTTGGGGGCCTCTTTGGTCGTCTTGGGCCGTCTTGGAGGCTTCTTGGGCGAACTTGGAGGTATTTTGGACTCTCTTGGGCCGTCTTGGAGGCCGTCACGGACTATCTTGGGCGGACTTGGAGGCCATCTTGGACCATCTTGGAGGCCATTTTGGGCGAACGTGGCCATCTTGGAGGCCATCTTGGACCATCTTGGAGGATTTTCTTCCGGATTGAGGTCCTTGGCAATCTTTCCGGGCGGCCGGCGGGACGCCCCGGAGGCCCAGGGGGAGTTCTTTTGGAAAAGAACCAAAACCAAAAACCGACAGGGTCTAGCACGCCAGGCATCCCTGTGATCCGCCGCCCCCTGTTGATTCATCGCAGGGATCCCTTGCATACTAGATAATTTCGGTTGTGGTTTTGTTTTTTTCACAAAGGACTCCCCCTGGGGCTCCGTCGCGTCCCGCCGGCCACCCGGAAGGCTCGGTTGCAAACTGTTTTCCTGCCCCAGACGGCCCCAAGATGGCCCAAGATGGCCCAAGATGGCTTCCAAGACGGCCAAGATGGTCTTAGTATGCCTCCAAGACGGCCCAAGATGCACCCAAGACGGCCTAAGATAGCCTCAAGATGGCCGAAGACGGCCCAAGAGGCCCCCAAGAGGCCTCCCAGACGCTCCAAGAGCTCCTCCAAGAGGGCCCGAAGAGGCCCAAATCATAGATTTTCCATATAGGATTTTGGCATTTGCGTCTTTTCGGGATTCCGACGGCTGAAGACGGCCCACGAGGCCCCCAAGATCGCCCCAAGATCGCCCAAGAGGCCTCCAAGAGCGCCCCATGACGGCCCAAGAGGTCTCCAAGACGGCCCCAAGAGGGCCCCAAGACGGCCCAAGAGGCCTCCAATACGCCCAAGATGGCCTGCATGACGGCCTCGAAGCGCCCCAAGAGGGTCCCAAGTCGGTTCAGAGAAGCCACCAAGACGGCCCCCGACGGCGTCAGACGGGTCAGGAACGCCCTAAGACGGCCAAAGAGGTCCCCGAGAAGCTCCCAAAGGGCCTCAAGAGGCCCTCAAGAGGCTCCAAGAGAGCCCAAGATAGCCCCAACATGGCCTCCAAGACGGTACCAAGATGGCTCAATCGAGCCCAAGAGTGCCTTAAGAGGCTCCGAAGAGGCCTCCTCCCCCCCTTCCTTTTTCCTGATTGTCCTCCTTTTCCTCGACCACGTGTTCCCCGAAGGCGGTCCAAACAAACTCGGGGAACACATGGTCTGATAGTTTGGCCAAGCTCTAACCCAACTTTCGGCCACATAGGCGCTTCCACGAAGGCAGGGGGCGGCAGTGATTCGCCGTAGGCGTCTTCGATGAATCGACAGGGGGCGGCGGATCAAAGACGCCTACGGCGAATCACCGCCGCCCCCTGCCTTTTTGGAAGCGCCTATGTGGCCGAACGTTGAGGCCAGACCTGCCAAGCTATCGGACCATGTGTTCCCCGAATCGGTTTGGAAAGCTTTCGGGGAACACGTGGGCATCTTGAAGGTCATCTTGGCCGTCTGGAGGCCATTTTGACCTTGTATGGCCTTCTTGGAGGACGTCTTGGAGGGCTCTTGGGCCGTCTTCGAGGCCATCTTGAGCATCTTGGAGGCCTCTTGGGCCGTCTTGGGTGCCTCTTGGGGCCGTCTTGGGGGCCTCTTGGGCGATCTTTGGGGGCCTCTTGGGCCGTCCCGGACAATCGGAATGCCGAAAAAATGCAAATGCCACAATCCTTCAAAAACTCATAGGGAAATCACGGATTTTTCTCTTTCGGGCCTTCCTGGAGGCCCTCTTGGAGGCCTCTTGACTCTAAAGTGAGCTGGGACAAGGGCGAGAGATAACGAGCGTTTGTCCGCTGCCGTTTGTGCTCAAGCGGCCGGCCGCCTATATCTGAGTGTGCCTCATTGCGAGGCATACGATTCGCCATCGAGACCGAAAACATCCTTCGCTTGAGATGGCCCGTCGCTCCCGCGACGACCTCCTACTACTAGGACTATCGTTACTACGGTACAACAGAGCTGGAGCTGTGCTTCGCCTAAGGCGAAGCTTCTGGTCTGGCCTACCGGCCCCCTTCAAACTTGGTAGCGGAGCTGGCCTGTGGTGGTCAGCACATGCTCTACTCCTCACCATCCACGGCACAATCTGGTGGACTACTGACATGGTGGAACATCAGGGTGCAGTGGGTCTGCGCGGGGGAATGTACATAACTACGCACAACCGCGAGGACATTTGCAGTGCTACCTCTGCTCTCGCAGAGGCCTCTGTCTCGAGTCCTCCCTCTCTGCGCTACTACACTCCTGAAACCCACCCACCTACTCCAATTTGAAGCTTCTTGGAAGATGCCATGCGTGGCAACGTGCGATACGATATTGCGCCGCCTCGACCCCCGCGCAGGCTTGCAACAAAACACCACAAACCTCAGCCAACCACAGCCGACCACGACCTACGGGGCTATTGGATTGGTGTTATTATCTTCGGTCTCCTATGGGTTGCTATCTGGTGCGCTCTGGGACACATGCGTGGCGGAGACGACGCAGGGACAACCGGCCCCCACTGGGGCCCGGCCGGTCAAGTACCTGTCCGCGAATTCGTTCGAGAGGTACATGCCAGGAGCAGCGTGACCACAGGCAATATGACGCCCCCCCAACAAGCTGCAGAAATGCAGCGTGGTCTGGGAGGTTTCGCACGGACTGTAGCCATGAGAGTTCCCCCAGCAGTCATCAATTTTGGCGTCAACAGAGGTGGCCGCCATACTGATACTGATGGTGTTCCCCCTGAGCATGAATATTGAAAACTTGGAAGAGGAACGCTAACTCAACTCGGGTACTGCTCTCATCGTCTTTCGAGTCCATGCGGGAGAACGGATCGACCAGGCATTGGCGCGCTTCGAGATTGCCCGC